CCCACTCTGGCCCCGCGGGGCGGGCCCCCATGGTTGCGAGCCGGAGCTGCCATAGCTTATGGCTAGAGCAATGGGAGGGGCCCCAGCAGAGAGAACAGAACAGAACCGTAAGGATAACGAGTGCTCCGCCCGTCAAGCGAGCGGCAGGAGCAGCAGGAAAGTACTTGGTAGGCCAACAGTCCAGTGGGCACTCGACGAAAGGGGGGCACACGGAGCAAGTACGAGAAATTGGCCCCGCTCCGCTTTATAAAAAGCAAGGACCACTACGGGAGGTCAAACCTAGGACCTATGGAAGTCGGGACTCGTCCCCGGTCAATATTGGATCAAACAAAACAAGCAATAGGGGCCGTAGCACTGACCTCTTTTTTTATTGATTCAATATAATAGGGGAAAAGATCGTACAGTTCCCTACCGAGACAAGAGAAACTCTTAGCAGATCCTCCGCGCGCTGGGCATACCTCTTCCGTGCGTCTTTCTCATGGCAGGAACAGAACAACAGAGAAAGACCCGGCCGACCTGCCCAGGGCTCGAGGGCGAGCTTTATTTAAGAGAGAATGGGGAGCGAATCGAAAGGCTTCCGTTTTCGTTCTTGGTTTGGTTCGGGCTCCTCTCGATCTTTTTCGTAGTAGGGAAGGGGGAAGGAGTCTAAATCTATGGACATTAATGAACCATCATTGATGGACGTTGCACATGACACGATCAATTCGACTCAAGGTCCGGCGCTAATAGAGGTTGCTTACTTTCCTAGTAGCGAAGGAAAAGGGAAGGGCTTTTTCCGTGGTAATAGTGGGCGGGTCTCCTTTCGAAGTAAAGGCCTTCGCATTCCTAATCCGCCCCACCAACCCCGGACGGCTTAATTTGCCCCAGCTTGGTGAATCCCCGCGCAACGACATAGTTTGTACGCCCTTTACCGTTCTCGCTCAGTGTTTGCAACGGTTGGGGAGGCAGTCGTAGAAGCGAAGTCTATCGCCACGCCAACCATCAAATACGAGATTGGGCCCCTTCTCAACGATTTGATGGAATGGCCTACCCAATAGCGCTTATGTCATATGAGAACTCATGGCTGGAAACAATCCTTATGGTTTTGATATCCGGTAGGAATAATAAGAATCAAAGTCCAGGTAGGTTGGTGAGCCTAGTGATAGGAGACTATCTAGCTTGGTTCGGAGAGCACTTGTTGGGTTAAAGACTTTTTTTGTTGCTAAATGTTACAGCCTAAATGCTGAACTATTGACTCTACTCGTTCGGATGGGTGTTCACCCCAAAGTGTTCCCGGACTGCATGCATACATCCGTAAGTAACTTAGTGCAACATGGCAAATTTCATTGAGAGGAATCAGCAAAGAAAAGAAAAACGGGTCAACATCTTAATGTGTATTTGAGGTCCTCGGGCTGAGGAGTGTCCACATGAGTTCGTTGAGGTGTCTACACAGGAATCAAAACCTCTTTTCTATTCTGTCGAGAGTTCGGATTGCTCCACCTAAGTAGAACGAAAGGGAGGAAAGATTTTGATTCTTTATAGCCCTTACCAGAGCTTATGTCATTTCCTTCGGTTGGGTTAGCTTTTTGGTAGGAAGGGCGGTAGTAGAGTTGCGTCAGGTCCTTCGCGTCACTCTACTCTTGGTTTTCTTGGCAGGGATGCCCATTGTTCCCTGCGATAACTCCTTCGATTCCCCTCGCGTTTCACTCGGAGTCCTTATTGACCTCTCGCAATAAATGCTCGAGTTCCCTCTCCTTTCAGTCTCGTTCCTCTCCTTTTAGTCGAGTAAGAAATACCTCGGGAAGGTTGGGCCAGGCAAGCCAGGTAAGCCAGGCGTTCCTCATTGTAATGCTTACTGGAGCTGGTCCTGGTTTGACTAGTGGAAGGATAGTTACTGCTTATGCTTTTTCTCGGAGCGGAGTCTGCTGCCTTCCTACCCTTCTAAGTGTAAGTGATCAGTCTGACTTTCTTATTTAGGAGGGCCGCGCTAATGGGGGTGAGTCCCAATCAAGCGCACCTGGGAAGAAAGATCTGGGGAATCTATCAACTTGCAGCAGCCCCAGTCTTCCTTCTCCTTTGAGCACCGGCTTTTAACGGGTATGAAAGAACTAGATGGGAGGCTTTTTCCGGGTAAGAGAAATAGTAGTGAGAGGTAGTGAAAGCCCTTTCGTCCTTTATAACTAGTACATTTTCTCGTGTAGATAACAGAGGCAAGCAGGACAGACGATCAATCCCTCTTCTAGTAATGGCACCACTCTTTTTAGGTTAGAACCCATTCCCATTGGCTTCCTACAGGTATAGTGAGATGTACAGGAAGACGGAGACCTTTTGAATTATAGACGACTAGTAGTGCGAAGCAATTCCATCCGATTTTCGAGAAAGAAAAGAGTGAGTTAGCTTATTTTACGTCGGATGAAAAAAATAATTCTAACTAGCTGGAGACAGAGATATAGAAAGTTTGCAGTGCGGTATCACCCATGACCTTCTGCGAGAGTGAGATAGAAAGCTGGAAGGTTGGATTGAATCGGATTATCCATTGAGCTAGTCCGTTTTCCTAGTAATGTAAAAAAGAACAAAAGATTCCCAACCAAGTATTATCTTATAGAATAATAATTCTAGCATTACTCGCAAGAGTGAGTTCACAATGCGGCTTGTCTGCGAACTTGTGGTGCAAAGATCAAGAAGGTAGAGATAAAGTCGATGAAAACTGCGGTCACAAGTTCTCACAGAAAGGATCGGAACACAACAGTAGTAGACTTAATAGGACCAACCCACCTCATCAATCTACGTATAACACATCTGAGAGAGTGAAAGGGGTTCTTCCAGGCAGGCTGAAAAGAAAAGGAAAAGGGACAGGTGTACACCAAAGCGCTGCGCTCCTGCTGAAAAGAAATGAAAGGAATTCTTTTCAAAAATGGGATAGACTACTCTGATAGGTCTGATTCCAGTTGGATAGCCAGATGGGTCCCAATGGAAAAAGTTTCATCCTAGCTCGACTCCAACTCCAACCTCTAGATCTACTTCTAAAGCTACTAGCTACGTTCAGGGGCAAAGATCCTTAGTGAACTCCTTATTCATTCAATTCAACAAGGTGCTCGGGGGGACGAAAGGAGAGCCAATGGCGAAACCAAAGAGAGAGGAGGCCTGGTGGGGACACCACACTACGATAGGGGATAAGGGCGAAGTTCAGTAAGGGCTCCTCGGATAATCTATATAATCTATCAATAGAAGTCTCTTCACCACATGATGATACCCATGCTCGAAGGGGAACCTTCAAAGCAGGATTTGGGTTCTATAGCTATACAACTCTGGGGAATCGGCGTGGAGGAGCGTACTGCAGAACTATGACCCATACAGTGGAAGCTCTGGTCCCACTAATTTACCTAAGCAGGTCTCCTTAAGTTAAGTAAGTGCATATCCTTTCTTTTGAAGGTTGGGGAACCTACCAATGAAGATTCTCTCTACCATACTGGGCAATATAGATGAACAAGCCATGCCCACCCCGCCTCAGATCAGCAGGAGTCAGACACTGCATGGCTCATCCATCAGGTAAAGAAAGGCCAACAAACAATAGAATACATGTTATTTATGGCTGTTTGTTGCAGGAAGAGTTTCATCAAGAGAATAAGGGAATAAGGTATCTGCAGAAATAGGAGTAGTAGCAGTAGTCGCAGGTGTCGAAAGAATAAGGGAATCAATGCTGTCAACCGGAACAACTGGTTGGGCTACTCCTTGTTTGAGGAGTTAGTTTCTTGATTCTTTATCTCCGGTATCTGCTTTAGAAAGAGTTTCAGTGCAAACTCTTCTCATACTATCAAGCCGGAATAACTCGACTGTAAGGAGAGGTTTAAATAACTCGTGGAACCTTCTACTCTCCTTTATCAGTATCATTTCGTTGGACCTCTTCTTTTTAAGTAAGAGATAGGGGCTACATTTTCTATTCCCGCCGCTTTCTTTTGTTGTGTCGCTAAATAAGCAGGCTTCCGTCAAGCGAGGTCAGCCAAAGGGAAAGAAGAAAGAGTGAGCGAGAAAGCGGTGAGCTTACTCTTTAAGAATTGATTACCGTTGATGGCGGGGAGCGGAAACCTTTCCCTTTCTAGTTGTGAATTCCGTATTTTTGAAACAAAAAAAAGTGCATAATATTGGATTCAAACCGACGGCCCACCCTTTCTTTGAACCTTGTCAATGATCGAACCTAAAGATATGAACTGAGTGCCATTTGATGAGTAACTGAGAACAAAGGAGAGGGGTATAGCAAGGATGAGACCTTATCCTTGGTGGGAGAGGGCCGAAGGCACTCGACTAAAAGGTTCAAAGATCTCGAGCGTAGCGAGAGGTGCTTTAACAACTCGACTGAAAAGGCGTTCCTCGAAGTCATGACTCGAGCACTTGTTTAGAGAGGCACGGAGTGACAAAGGAGCTCGACTGTAAGGCGTTCCTCGAGAGTGAAACGAGAGGTGAGGTTTCAGTTTTCAATATGATTCTTTTTTCGTATTTGTTCGATGAGAAATGCGAGTCAGTTTTGTCCATTTTTTCTATCCCCCTCTATCAAACAAAATGATCAAAAAGGAAGTTTACTGGCTTCTTATTCTCGTCTTTGATCTCTTCCATTTCTTCCTCGCTCATTGTCACCTATATTGAAGAAAGAAACCCTGTAGAGAATGAAGAGGGGCCTAGGATCTTCTTCTCAACAGTGCTTCTCGAGGCTCCCCCCTGAATAAGTAAGGCCCCGTTAGCCTGGGCGAAGATGGGGAGAAGGAATAAGGATTGAAGCCCCCTTAGCTCTGCCAGGCACTGGACAGGGGTTAGCTTGGTAAATGTGTAAAGCCAAGTGTAGTATGGTGTAGTAGTAGGCACTTCTAGGCCCTTTCCCTATACTGGATCACTCTAGTGCTTTGGGTACTACGGGCCCTCTGCCATTCATGCAGCAGAGCCGTTTCATGAGCGGGGGGGGGGGGGGGGGGGGGGCAAACCCAATTTTTTTAAACAAAAGTTTTTTAGATATCAAAATGGAAATCGGATAGGATAGATGGATGGATCTATCTTTCCATTTATATATTACTAAAGGATTTATATAGTTAAGTAGCGTAGCAAGAAGCCCCAAATCCTTGATTTGGCCAGGAAAGACGGCAGTGCTTTGGGCCCAGGATGCGAAGGGAATGAGCTCGGCTGCTTCTCCTCCACACTGATTTTTCTCCGAGCCTGCTCCGCATGCGCTTCACGCGCTATTGGCGCTTTGCTCTCCTCTTATTCTTCATTGGACGGTTCGGTTCGGATGGACTTCGCCGTTCTTTCCCAACTAAAAAAGAAAAGGCTGTATCACATCGAGATGTCGATTCGTTTTCCGCCCCCAATGAGATGGGGAATTTGCAACCCCCTATTTCTACTTTTGGGCCCTTCATCTTTCTGAATCCAGGCCCGTCCCGGCTCGCGTCGTTCCAACAACCGGCGGGGAGCACCTCATTATACGATCGCGCGCAGTAACTGGGAGTCCTATTACACCTAAGGAGAACTTCAATTCACCAAACCAAGGTTCATCTCGTGTAGTGATTGTGGACTCTACTAAGGATATTGAGTAGACGGTTGATGTATCAGACTCGACCCTGTCTTTCGTAGCATGCATTCCCATCGGTGTCGCAACTGATTCGGTAAGCTACGTGTCCGGTGCACGGAGAACTGCCTTCGGTCCTGTCCTCTAAACTGAACTGACTTATTCGTGGCAACCTTCCGGCCGCCCAACGACCTATAACGCTAGTCACTACTCCCACTGGGGCTAGGAAGTAAGCCCCACAACCCAAAGCGGCGAAGAACAAATAGAATTTGCTACAAAAGCCGGCTAACGGGGGTATTCCTGCGTATGAGAACATAGTAATGGAGAAGGTAATAGCCGAAATAGGATTCGTTTTGGCTAGAGCGCCCAAATCCGCTATATATTTGACACGGGTTTTCCGTAATGCTGAAACTATGGCGAATGTATCCATCGTCATTAATGCATAAATAAAGATACCAATTAGTAGTGATTAAATTCCTTCTATGGTTCCACATGAGAAACCAGTACGAACATAACCTACATGTCCAATTGAACTATGAGCTAGAGGTCTTTTGACTTTCGTTTGGGCCATGGCGGCCAGTGCTCCTAAGATCATAGAAGCAATGCTGCAGAAAAAGAAGATTTGTTGCAATGTAGCTCCATAGGAACCAAATAGAAACACGTAAAATATTAGCAGAAATAGAGATTTTAGGCGCAATAGAAAGGAATGCTGTAACCGGGGTGGGTGAACCCTCATAGATATCTGGTGCCCACATATATAGAGTCAAAAGGAATATGGAGTCCGAGGGGGAGGGGGTTTTCTTCGGGGCTCGAGAGATTGAGTAGACCCACAAGTTTGAAATTCACCACTGGGGAATTCACACGAAAGGGAACGAGGAATTCTCAACGAAAAAAGTGCTCTCTGAACCAAACGTGAAAGTTTTTTTCCATCAGACGGCTGTTCCTGTAACTCAACTCTCGACTTGGATTATATATCCAAAAAGGTCCGCTCTCGGCCATTCCACACGCTGCCTAGCCGAGGTGTGGTTATCTGAAGTGGATTCTCTCTTTTCTAGTAGATGCCGAACCTGCTGCCCCATTGACTAAGAAGAGGGGCGGACGCAGCAGCTACATGGACCCCTTCTTTTCTGTTGTTGCCAGCGCTTTCCCGGGCCGAGCCAGAATTTTTTATTATATTCTAATGGGCAGGGAAAGCCCGCAGGCTGCTATCCCAATAGGCCAGCGGGCGGAACGAGGAGAGGCTCCGGCAATCATAGCACCGCGGTCGAAAAAGCGTGCTCCCTTCAGATAACACGCACCGTAGGCCATCCTCGGCCAAGAAAGAAAATCTCTCGATCTCCAAAAGCCTTTTCCTTTCCCCGCCGCATCTCCCTCCCTTCGCCGAGCCTTTCTGGGGCTCGTCGAGACCTTATCAGAACTTGGTGGGCATTCTTTCCAGCCGGGGGATGGGTTTTGTTTGAACATAGGCTCAAACATGATTTGAAGGTCCTAGCTACGCCATGCGTTCAATACAAAATCTGGAAAGCTGCAGAGATGACAAAAAGAGGGCGCTTTCCTATGTTGCACTGAAAAAAGAAGGACCTAAGAGCGTCTTCTCTTAGGTTTTTTCCTCCCGCGCCCGCCGCCGCCTGGCCCCCGTTAGAGGGGAAGATTAGCAAAGCGAAAAAAGACAGAGGGAGGGGGAGCAGCATCTTATTCTCTACGCGAGAACTTTCGGATCGAAGAAGCATTCCGAACGGGCTCCGCGTTCATTTCGTTGGCGTAAACAATCCAATCCATTCGGGGCTTCGGCCAAAAACGAATTCGACTTGATTCATAGATAGAATCAATGATAAATAAACAAAAGATAGATGAACGAGATATCTTTTCTTTCTATAAAAAAAAGAGGAATAGAATAGACATCCCTTTCTTTATATGTCTATCTATCCTTCCGATTTTATATCGTTATATCTGCTCTCTCAATTTTTTTAAGAGAGAGCAGATAGATCCTATCCCCTATATCGAACACTAATACCTATCTATTGATAGGAAGATCTTCGTCTAATAGCGGACATTGCCTTTTTTTTAGGAATTTCTCATATCCAAGGCAGCTTACCACAAAAACCCCACCCCATACGACTAGTTGGGGGGGCTGTTCGCCTTTTGAATCAAACAAAGTAGGTTGTAGGTAGGGGCTTCATAGCTACTTTCATTCTAAAGGAAAGCGAAAAACCAATCTTTAGTCAATAGGAGCCCTACTTCCCGAGGTATTACTCGACTGAAAGGAGAGGGACAAGGGCGGTCTTGCTTGGCGCGAAGGCTGCTGGTTTGGGGGTACGGTACTAAAGGTCCTCAGACTTCCAGGCGGTTTTGATTTTTGGCAGCTGTTCACCGTTGGATCTCGCCAATACAGCCCCCTATGGTTTTTGTTACCGAGATATCTTTTTTTTTTTCATTGTTCCCAGGGATTTTTTGGGTAATCTGCTCCCATGCTGCAAACAGTCAAATTAGAACTCAACCTTGTCGCTCTTCTTTCTTTCCTCGCGGGCAGGAAGCACACCAGCAGCGTGCGTTGCGTGATTCTACTGTGTTTTTTGCACTTGACTGGGTGGACAGTTGACTGGAAGAGAACTTCGATTCGCCCGGCCAGCAGGCGGGCGGCGTGCTTATCTTGTGTGACAACACTACAGAGCGAGTGGCTCTTCTAGGCGGGCAACATGCTATGGTCTCAATGCCCTTACGAGGTAGTCATGAGTTTCACTCGCTCTAAGCCCGGCCCGTGCGCGGTAAGGAAGATTGGCCGCAATCTGAGCGGTACCACCCACCCTACCCTACCACCTATAGGCGGCCGTCCGTCCTACAGCCGCCCGAAAAGGAACTGCAGTGATCTTGAATAGGAATCCTACAGCGATAGATAGAATCCCCATAAAAATACCTCTAGATCGAGCACCAATGATTTCGTATCCGGTCAAAATCTTGGCTAATTGATCGAAGTGGGTAGCTCCAGCAGACCCATAGATCATGGAACAAATAGGGTGGGTAGGCCCAACCACCACACTACACATATAGACGCGAACCCCCCTCGTTACCGTACGTGCGACTCTCACCGCATACGGCTCGCACAAAGACTCCTAAATCTATCCCGAGCCTTTTCTTCTATCCTATCCTTTCAGTCGAATTACTAAAGTACCTCTCCAATCCTCGATCAAAATTTCCCAGGCGCTATGAAATAAATGGGGGTCTTTCCTTCGCCTATCGTATATTGTATGTATCGGCTTGGCTTCGTCCAAAACTCAAACAAGGAGGCATTCCGGCGGGCGCGTGCGTGTAGGAAGGCCGACCATTACATAAGCTAAAAGACTAGGAATAGAAGCCAGCCAGAAGCGACTCGCTTCTATTCCCCGTTAGGATTGGATATAGATGGGGAATCTATTGATCGTAGTAGTTCGCCAACCTCTCTAACTAACATACGATCAAATTTTCGGCACGGCCAAAAAAAGAAAGAGCTTCGCTCGGTGGGCCTTCCTACGCTGACGAATGCCTCCTTTCTCTTCACTTCAGTCTACAACAAGTGGGAGAGGCAGGATTCGAACCTACGTAGAAAAACTTCAACAGATTTACAGTCTGCCGCTTTTGACCACTCGGCCACTCTCCCTTTCCCGGGCCGAGCCCCCCTTAATGGGTTCTAAGAAGGAGGTTTTTTCCCTGAATCAATAAAAAAAGGAAACTTATTGATTTGATTGAAGGGAACTAATACTCTTTCTTAGCTTATCTAGCGTTCCGGGAGAATCTAGTCACATGGAAGTCTAGAACCAGACAATTATTGTAGGGGTTTTTGTGGGGTCTTCAAAACGTAAAAACTAGTCTTAACGGAAAATACGAGAATTAAAATGACCTAATAACTAAACTTAATGAAATCGACTAAAAACAAGAAAACGGCTAGACCTAAATTGCTTTGAATAAAAAGCGGCTGGGATAAATGAAAAACAACCTAATAACTAAAACTTGTATTGAAATTAGCAAAAACTTATAAAGATGAGACGCTGGCTTTTCAGGGAAACTCTCTCCAGGGGATGAACGATTCAAAACATTGCTTAAAGAGTAAATTAAAAAGATCCTACCTAAAACTTTTAGAACTCGAGTTAGAAACGTATGAATACGCCATTGTCGTGATCATAACCAACTATCTCTCTCAACACTGACCAATAGGTTTCCACTCTGGCTCTAGAAAAGAAAAGATGTGATATGCTTAAGACTCATCAATATTCACAACTCACCCATAGGTAGGTTTCCAATCCTATGGTCGATCTGCTCTTCTCGAACTAGATCTGGCCTCGAATGAAAACTTTCACAACACCCAAAACCTAGATCAGATTGTAGTTCATGACGCTACTCCCATGCATTATAAATAAGTTTAGAAGATAAAGTTCTAGGATTCGGCTTCAATAGCTAATGGAATCCTCATCGAACATATATAACCCTCATCGAACATCCCTTAAACCCAACAATAAAACTACTCAGACATGATGAACGAAAGCAAAGACATAGGATTAAAAAGTTGAATAGAAATCGAAAATAACAGAGAAACAAAAAGGGTTCAAGAGATAGATCTCTTTCTCCCTAAACCTAAAACAAAAGCTTAAAGTTGTGTCTTTTTCTAAAGTATTTTGTCTCTCTCTAAAAACGACCTAAATGATAAGTATTTATAGTTTCCAATGCTTCATGGTCTCTAGGGTTCCGGAATTGAGGCTGAGAAAATGACTTGGGCTTCAGAAATGGGCCTTCTAAATCAAATATGGCTGGCTGCGGTCGGATAGGACGTGGTCGCGGTGAATGGATGCATGGCCGCGGTCGTATAGCTTTTAACCGTGGTGAACAGGCTGTTGGCCGCGGGTGGAAATGTTTGCCGGCTGGTTTATGGGACATCTTGCTCTTTGCGTAACTTTTAATTGAATCATTGGATTGCCATTCTGTAAGGTGTGATGGAAAGCTGATAGTTCCATTTTTGAGATCTCCAAATTTGAGTTGGATCGGACGGTGAGAATGTCTTCATTTGAGGATGAACTTCTGACTGTTTGACTCTGAGCTGAAAATTTGGTCTTCTATCCATTTTGTTTAGTTTTTCCCTAGGTTTTCTGAAAAGTCTTGGAACTACAAATATTAGAAAAAAAAAACACTTGAAAGCAATAAAAAACATACAAAAAGTATTTCAAAACAACCCATAAAAGTGGTCAAAATACGGTGTTATCATATTTCATATTCATCCTCATCATAGTTATCTTCTCTTTCAAATTTCTAAAGCTTCTCACACATCGATATGCCGTGAATTGAAATGTTGAAAATGTAAAAAAAAATTTTGTTTTTATTTTTGTTTTTTATTTTTATACACAAATCATGTGGCCTAGATCAGAATCGAGATAGATGATGAAGGAAGATTGGTTTTGATACCATGAAGTAGTATAGATCAAAAGCGAAATGGAAACTCTGATACCAATGATAGGTAGTAAAAGCTTAAAACCCCAAGAACACATTTTTTCAAGAAAAATTTCACGTCTCTCAGTTCATTAGATACCAAATTATTTAAATACAAGAAATGGAGTAATTGAATTGATCCAGATTTTACTAACAAGGAAATATAATGTGAAAATGAAAACATGGGAATAAATTTCCTAGAATTAAGAAAAAACTGAATTTTCCTGATATAATTTCTTTATTTATTTAACCAATAAAAAGTAACTAAGCTAAGTAACTAAAAAAATTTATTCACCAAAATTAGTAAGTGTATCATTCTAGGTTCTCCTAATATATTCATTGTTGATCAGGTATTGTTTCACCATTTATAAATTGTCACTTTTGACCTTCATTTCTACAGCTTTAAAAATTATCCCCTCATGTCAAGCCAATCGAGTATAATGATTATCTCCAAACTTACACCTACAAAATTCAGTTCCCAGAACTCTTTGCGTTCTCCATCAACCAAATCTACCTCATACCGTGAACACAAAACAATATGCTCTGAAACGATATCTATCTCATATGCATTTCGTTTTTCTTGTATAATTACTGAAATGATAAGTGATAATTTTTATTCTTTAATTGATTTCTGCTTCTTTAATCATAGTATTTGGATTCAGTTTTCTCATATGAAGCGATAGAATCCTATTATGACATCAAGATCAAAGATGTTGATGGAATTGGAACATCTTTTTCATTGCGTCAACTAAAGCACGCTCCAGAATATGATAGCACAAAAAGTTCTAAGTCAGGGCTGGAGTGTTTTGGATATTTTTATAGTTTCATAGTATTTCTATATAATTTTTATTTTTACTGCATTGTGACCAATTATAATCTATTTTCTTAATGATTGGTTAAACTATTTTTACATTATATATTAAATAATATTTTTAAGAATCTCTCATTTGCCGTTTTCCCAATGTTTTTCTCTATTTTCTTTCATATTTCCGTTTGACTTTTCGCCATGGAGGTGTTCCGAATGGAAACCAAATGAAGGTTAGTGGAAAAGCAAAAGATAACTACCCAAAATTCATGGCGAAATCAGTTTATATATAAAATAAAATAAAAAATCATTAGATGAACAACTCATACATAAGCGCAAGAGAAGCAGCAAAAAAATCCGTGGTGAAATCACAATCATCTTTATACCCAAAAAGAACCATTATGATAGGTGACCTGTTTTGTTGGAATGTGAGGGGCTTTAACGATCCTGTTCGGCGAAGTAATTTTAGGAAGTGGCTCAGATATAGTAAAGCCACTATCGGTAGTATTATAGAAACTAAGGTGAAGGAGCATAAGGCTCAGAAGTTGGTTCAGTTCTCTTTTCCTGGCTGGAGGTTTGTGGGCAACTATGAGCATTCGGCTAGGGGTCGGATTTGGGTTCTCTGGGATCCAAGCATTTCTGTTTCCGTTCTCAAGAAGTCTGAGCAGGTTATTACTTGTGTTGTTCGGTTCCCGAGCTCAAACCAGGATTTGGTGTTTTCTTTTGTCTACGCTTTAAACACAAAAGATGAGCGTGCGAGATTGTGGGATGAGATCCAGGAGGTTGCTATGGACCCGACTTTGGCCGGTCTTCCTCAGGTTCTGTTGGGAGATTTTAATCAGGCTCTTGACCCCATGGATAGTTCAAAGCAAGGTGCACGCATTACTAGGGGCATGCTGGAGTTCCGAAACTGTGTGGAGTTGTCTCTGTTATCAGACTTATCATTCACAGGCAACCAATATACCTGGTGGAACAAACAGACTGAGGCTCCTCTAGCGAAGAAGCTGGACCGCGCCCTGGTTAATGTTGCTTGGACCCAGGCTTTTCCATACTCTTTTGCTCAGTTCGGTGAAAGCTTATTCTCGGATCACAGTCTCTGTTGTATTCAATTCGGTAATCCTCAGGTAGCTACGAATAAACCGTTCAAGTTTTCCAACTTCTTGGTTTATAACCCAGACTTCCTCCCCACCATATCCACGGCTTGGCAGAGCCTTCGCTTCACTGGCTCTAAGATGTTCATCCTCGTGAAGAAACTTAAGGCTCTGAAGCAAGTAATCAAGGGATTTAGCAGGCTCCGTTACTCCCATCTTGAGCGCCGAGTCGGTGAGGCTCAAGCTACTCTGGAAGCTTTTCAAAGAGTCCTTTTGGCTGACCCGTCGCCCAGGTCCGCTTTTCTGGAAAAGGATGCAGCTGCAAAATGGTCTGAGCTTGCCGTAGCGGAGGAGCGCTTTGTCAGGCAGAGATCTAGAGTAAACTGGATAGATGCAGGGGACAAAAACACGGCTTATTTTCATCGCTCCATGGCTGCTCGAAGGTCCGCCAACCAAATACATTACCTCATGGACGAGAGTGGTATTCGGCTCGAGGACCCCATTGACATCCAAAGACACTGTGTCGACTTCTACATAAATCTTCTTGGCAGAACGGACGGGGCTTATTCTCCCTTGGATGGTCAGTCTGTTCAGTTTTATATTCGGTCAAAGTGTGACCGTGCTGCTATTGAGCTTTTACTTGCTCCCGTGACTGAAGCCGATGTTAAGGTTGAACTTTTTTCTCTTCCTCTGAGCAAGTCGCCTGGTCCTGACGGCTACACAGCGGAGTTCTTCAGACACACCTGGGCTGTGGTGGGTGTGGATTTCACCAATGCTATCCTGGAGTTCTTTTCAAGTGGGAAAATGCTTAAGCAGCTCAATTCTACTTTCATTTGTCTTATACCTAAGAAGCCTGGAGTGGATCGTTTAAAAGACTTCAGGCCCATTTCTTGCTGCAACACCGTCTATAAGGTCATCTCTAGAATCCTGACTCGTCGTCTCCAAGCTGTGCTTCCTGCTCTGATTTCCAACAATCAGACAGCTTTCCTGAAAGGTCGGTTGCTGGTGGAGAACGTTCTTCTAGCCACCGAGATGATCCAGGGTTCTAATCAGAAACATGTTGGTCGCAGGGGAACGCTAATGGTGGACCTCCGCAAAGCTTTCGACTCGGTAAAATGGGAATTCATTATAGAGGCTCTCTAATCTGCGGGCTTCCCTGATGCATTTATTAACTGGATCGCTCAGTGTATGTCAACGACTAGCTTCTCTGTTTGCATTATTGGAGGGATCTACGGGTACTTTAAAGGAACCAACGGGCTGAGACAGAGTGATTCCATCTCCCCTTACCAGTTTGTCCTTGCCATGGAGGTCTTTGGAAATATGCTTGAAGCTCGCTATGCTGCTCACCACATCGGCCTCCACCCGAGAGGTCGTAATCCTCAAATCACCCACATTGCCTTCGCTGACGACATTATGCTGTTCTATGATGGGAAACCGGGGTCGTTGAAAGCAATTGTGGAGACTCTTTCGAATTTTTCTAGCATCTCGGGCTTATGCATGAACACAGATAAGTCAGCCCTTTTCACTTCAGGTTTGAACCCGCAGGAAACCGCTGAGACTCTTTCTTTTTGTTTCCTCGAGGGTTCTCTACCTGTCCGATACTTAGGGCTCCCCCTTATGCATATGAAGCTAAGACGGAGTGAATACTCCCCCCTCATTGATGCAGTAACTGCTCGCTTCTCTAACTGGATGGTGAAGCCTTTATCTTTTGCAGGGCGCTTACAGCTGATCTCCTCGATAATATACAGCTCGGTGAATTTCTGGATGAGTGCCTTTTCTCTCCCCAAATGTTGTCTTAAAGACATTGAAGGCCTTTGTAATAGATTCTTGTGGTCCGGGGATATTCAGAAGAAAACAGGCATCAAAGTTGGAACCATGCCTGTATGCCTAAATGCGAAGGTGGTTTGGGTCTGCGCAATCTCTCACTTTGGAACAAGGTTCTGACTTGCGCTTGGTCTGGTTGCTTTTCTCAGGTAGTGGTTTGTTGTGGGTCGCCTGGGTAAAGGAACACAGGCTAAAATGCATCAACTTCTGGGCTCAGGATTTGACATGTCAGGCCTCCTGGGTTTGGAAATTTATTCTCAAGCTGCGACCGCTTGCAATGAAGTTTCTTCGGTGCAAGGTTGGCGACGGTAAGGAATGTCTCTTCTGGTATGATCACTGGTCGACCTTCGGCCCTTTATTGGACTTTGCTGGCAGCAATGGTCCTCGTCTCCTTGGTGTTTCCGCGGGCAGTTCTGTCAAAGAGGCGTGCTCTCCTGCTGGTTGGACTCTCCCCGGTATTCGAACTCGCCACGATTGCCTGCATGACATAAGGGACCTCTTTATTCGTACCGCTCCGCCTACTGATTCTTTGGGACCGGATTTATTCTACTGGGACGCTGGCAACGCTAATTCCTCGGCTTTCAACTCCTCTAAAACTTGGGAATGCCGCGTCCATTGGCGCCTAAGGTTGCTTGGTTCAAAGTGGTGTGGTTCTCGGGCCATGTTCCCAGACACGCCTTCACTTTCTGGGTCGCTCAGAGGAATCGCTTACCAGTTAGAGCCCGTCTTGCTCAATGGAATGCAGCTGTAACCGATCAGTGCTGCTGCTGCAGTAGAGCGGTGGAAACGAGGGACCATCTTCTCGTTCAATGCGACTTCGCTAGACAGGTGTGGCAGAAGACTCTCTCTAAGCTGGGGCTCTAACTGGTTTATGTATAGTTAGCTAGCTCTCTTTGTAATAGGTTTTTTAGTCTTCTCCTCGGGGGTTTTTATTCTTTTTTGGAATCCGAGGAATGCTAATTTGCTTCGCCAGCTTTTGTAAGGAATCGTTCCGATTGGTTTTTGATATAATATTCACATTCTATCAAAAAAAAGAACCATTAAATGAACCAAATGAAAGTAAGTGGAAAAGGAAAAAATAACTATCCAAAATCCATTATTATTTTTAAATGTGGCATCTAGTATAGTAAATATGGGTAGAACTATGATTTTCGTACTCTCGTTTCTTATACCTAAGGATAATTTTTATCCCATACTAGAAGGTTCTCTAGTACTTTTAAAACAAACTCTTGTCGGTGATTAATAATATTAACTCCAATGCATATCATGTACATTACTCCTCATATATACTCATAGTCTGTTACCCATTTGATCACTTACTTTTTTTTTTTTCACTTTCATCAATAAAAACATTCACAAATGCAGATGAACTGAAGGTACATATTAGTGCTAGCATGAATGCAAGAAAGGGGTTGTTCTTGCAAAGTTGTACTTAGTCTAATAAAGATCATAGGTAGTTGTAAGTTTTAAAAAAACTAGAAACAAAACAAAATGATCGTGCAAGAATTGGTTATGAGATTTTGATCATTTGTCTAATTTTACTAAACTATATAGTAATTATTTGAAAATTTTGGCTTTCCCACATAACAAGAGATCGATTTGGGATTTTTCTGGGTTTTAATGAGACATAACGCGGGTGTTGGATCGGATCTAGCGTCTGATCAAGTTTTCTAAATCGGTTTTGTTTCTGAATTTAAGTTGTGTGGTTTACAGTCTACGTAAAAAACTGATTTGATCTTAGTGTAGTCTTCTTACCATTTAATCAACGTACTTTGTTCTGTTATTTTCACAATGATGTTATTCTTTTGAGTAATATTAGAGCTAAAAACTCTATTACATCCCATTAATTTATGAAGAAAAAATTCCAAAGAAGCAAAATATTGGGAAAATTATTAAAAACTCTTTTCGCCACGGAGGTGTTCATTGTGCTCGCCACAAACATATCGTGGAGTTCGGCATTTTAAAAAGTGTGTGCATAGACGTTTAAAATTGTAAGCAAGTTCACCAATACTATCAGACCTAGAAGAAGAGATTGATGGTATTTAGAGCACATATGACTTTGTGTGAAGAATCTAGTTATAATTGGAGTGTGGATTTTGCTTTTTAACTTGTTGGATCAAACTCTAATTCAACTCTTAACAAAAATGAAGAAAATTAGATTAAGAATTTTCGTAATCTTAGTGTTTTTAATAAGAAAATTATATCGAAATATCTAAAGAGAATGGTGACGTGCACATTGGATAGCTGATAATATCTCAGTGATCCAAGCCGTTTATTTGTCTGCAACCGCTTCATCGGACGGTGGCTTTGTTCCTCCGTAACAAAAGTGGACCCGATCCCATTCAATAGAAATCGAATCGTATAAACGAGAATCGGTCTCAAGTTGAAACTTCGCTCTTCTTCGTCTTCTTCTTCTTCTTCTTCTTCTTCTTCTCGAAACCGCTTAGAAAATGGGGAATACGTTTTGCATCTTCGGAGGTTGCATTGATCAAGCGAGCGTTGGTGTAGTCGAACGTTGGGGCCGATTCGAGCATATAGCCGAGCCTGGGTGTCATTTCTTCAACCCTCTCGCCGGTCAATGGCTCGCCGGAGTCCTCTCCACCAGGATCAACTCTCTCGACGTCAAAATCGAGACCAAAACAAAGGTTGGTTTTGAATTTCAACATCCTCCTCGATCACCACCAATTTCGTCTCTCTTCCCAGAGGATTAGCAAAATTTGAATCTCGAATTGTAGTCTTGAAGGAGTAGTGATTGATCTTAGAGTTTTTTAATCGATTTTTTTGTGGATCGAAGAAAATTGGGCTACTATGTAAATCGACGTAAGTAGGTTTTTGTGTATTGTTTGCAGGATAATGTATTTGTGCAGCTGGTTTGCTCGATTCAGTATCGTGTAGTGAAAACTAGTGCTGATGATGCGTTTTATGAGCTACAAAACCCAAGAGAGCAGATCCAAGCTTATGTATTTGATGGTAACTTTTGTTTTTTTTTGTTTTCTCATTCTTTCTTTCGAATAAGCTCTTTTTTTATTCTTAATCTCTCTAAATGTATGTTTGTTTCCAAAATCAAAGTGGTTAGAGCTTTGGTTCCAATGATGACGCTAGATGCCCTTTTTGAACAAAAGGGAGAAGTCGCCAAGTCTGTTCTTGAGGAACTCGAAAAGGTAATCTTTTCTCCTTCACTTATGGTTTGTGAGATTCGTGCATTTGAGCTAACTAATAAGTGAGAAATTGAGCCTTTATAATATGTTTGGATTGCATAGAGAGGCTATGTAGGATTGTAAATAGCGTCTTTTAGGAAGCTAGTGACGAGTTCTGTAATGGTCATGATTGAGAATTGTTTCTTCAGGTGATGGGAGCTTATGGATACAGCATCGAGCACATTCTAATGGTTGATATCCTCCCCGATCCTTCTGTACGCAAGGCGATGAACGAGATCAATGCAGGTAAACTTAATTTCTGTTCCTACAGATCAAAGCAGAGAATGATTTACTATTGGAATGCTTATAAAGGTTTCATTTTGATTGTTCACTTGCTTTTATCACATCATGGGGAGTTAAAAAAACCCACATTTTTGATGATTTCATTTCTCATTTTGCATCCGTTCTACTTTAAAATGCAGCACAAAGGCTCCAGCTCGCGAGTGTGTACAAAGGAGAAGCAGAGAAGATTCTCCAAGTGAAGAGAGCGGAAGCAGAAGCGGAATCCAAGTACTTAGGTGGTGTTGGGGTGGCTAGACAAAGGCAAGCAATCACGGACGGATTGAGAGAGAACATAATGAACTTCTCTAGCAAAGTAGAAGGCACATCGGCTAAAGAAGTGATGGACTTGATCATGATCACACAGTACTTTGATACGATGAGGGATCTTGGAAACTCGTCGAAGAACACGACCGTGTTTCTCCCGCACGGTCCTGGACACGTGAGGGACATCAGCGACCAGATACGCAACGGTTTGATGGAGGCGGCTAGTGCTCACGTCAGTGACGCCTAAGAGATTGGATTCACTTCGGGTTGTTGTGAATTGGAATCTTTGATTATGGTTTAAAATTATGTTTTATGATTTCGTTGGATTTTGCTGCTTCTTTATTTTTTTTACACGGTTTTTATTGGTGATTGTATAATGGTATATAAATATGAACTCTTATGAAGAGGAACATCAGAAACGCAGACGCGCGCCATTTTTGGCTTTTGATGCTTTCTTCTTATACAATAAAAACAAAAAATCAAATAATAAACATCAACGTTATAAATTCAAATAATAAACATCAAAAATATAAATAACAGTTCAATCCAAGCCTTTTCACTAAATTCTTACATTTACAAGTGGTTAAGAGTTTTACATTTTTAAAGACGTTCTCAAATCTTTAGTGATATTAAAGAAATGTATGATATTTGTTTCAGTCGTAAAATACTGTATCCGGAACTTAGTTTTCAACTACTTGAATGACGTTGAATACTAAAATTTAACTAATTTGAATCAATTGACTAAGGAATTAACATGCATAAATTACAAAAGACGTATTGAGCTTCCACAATCTAGAGTTGGATGAAGCTGGTAATGTAGAAATATTGTTTTTGTGTCATGTGATCTCTACTTGTTTTTTTCCTCTTTTTGAGTTCCTTATCTAATAGTTTCATGAGTTTAAAGACATGAGTGTTAAATCAGTTATACAAAAATGTTAGTAAGAGATGTGGTCCATTTCATGACTTGTATGTTAGGTTGAATGGACACATAATCTCATCGTTCTCTCACACAGTCACACTCAAATTGCAATCACACCTTAGTCACACTTCCATTCAGCATACAGTTTTATTTTTGATAACCATTCACCATACAGTTACATAAAGAAAATCTTCGAAATTTAATTACATACAGACCATCGAAGTTTGTTTTTAATGAATACATATAACCAAACAATAATCGACTATCTGTTCTATACACATTTGTTTTTTGAAATGCGCTTAATCTTTTTGAATTATATATAAATATATTTTTATTTAAACGTTATTTTTACAGAAAATACCAATCTTTTTTTGGAATACCAATTTAATATTAAATATTCAAGTCTAGACGACTTTTTTTTATCCTTAAAACATATTGGTCAGTTATGAGCAACTATGAGCATCATAGACTTGGTCGTATATGGGTTTTTTGTAAGGATACAGTCAGGGTTACCCCAGTTTTTAAAAGTGCACAAGTGGTGTCTGCTCTGGTTAAGCTGCAAGATGAATCAGAGGAATTTCTGGTATCATTCGTTTATGCTTCGAACTTTGAGCATGAGAGGAGAGAATTTTGGGATGATCTTCGAAGCCATTCTAGTTCTCCTATTCTGAAAAAGCTGAGATGGATGCTTTTGGGGGATTTTAACGAGATTACTTCAGGAGAGGTGAGATCAAATTCTGATACATTTACTGGCTCAGAAAGTGGAATGCAGGATTTCCAGGATCTGCTGCGAGATTGCTGTTTGATGGACATGAGTTACCATGGCCCCTTATACACTTGGGGAAACAAAAGATCCAACGATCTGATATGCAAAAAGCTGGACCGGGTACTGATCAACAATATTTGGCTGAATAGGTCCTCATCTTCTTACTGTGTATTTGAACCTGGTGGTTGCTCGGATCACCTTCGTTGCAGAGTTCATCTCACTCCCGCGGTGATTGCAAACAAGAAGAAACCTTTTAAATTCACAAACGTGATAGCCACGTTACCAGAATTCCTACCGAAGCTCTCTGCTTACTGGAAAGAAACGCAGCCTCTGCACTTATCTACCTCGACGTTGTTCCGTTTTACGAAGAAGCTCAAGGATCTTAAGGGGCTTATCCGAGATATCTCAAGGGCTAATTTGCATAATCTTACTACCAAGGTGAAGGAAAGCTTTGTTGAATTGTGTGACAAGCAGGAAAAACTCTTTCAGACCCTACTTCAGTTAACCAAGAGATAGAGGCTGCAGCTTTTGAAAGGTGGGAACATTTAGCGAAGTTGGAGGAAGAGTTTCTGAAACAAAAATCAAAACTTCATTGGTTAAGTGTGGGAGATAGATGCACAAAGGCTTTCCACTGTGCTGTGAAAGCAAGGGAGGTGAGAAATGGTATTAAAGAGATTCGAACAGCTTTGGGAGTTATCATTACTGGGCAGTGGGAACTTAAAGCAGAAGCCTCGGGGTTTTTTTGAAGATTTCCTGAACCAAGAGCCACCAGAGTTTGAGCTTTTGGATGTCGATGTTTTAGCGGATCTGATGGGGTTTAGATGTTCAGTAATGGACCAGGAGGTTCTTATTCGTGATGTCACAGAGAAGGAGATACATGATGTGTTGTTTGCTATGGCTGGAGGGAAATCTCCGGGGCCAGATGGATTCACTGTGGAATTTTATAAAACAGCCTGGCCTATAATCGGTAAAGAACTCGTGTTCAGTAAACATGCGTTTTTGTCAAGGGTTTTCTACCTAAAGGAATTAACTCGACTATTCTTGCACTCATTCCAAAGAAAGAAGAAGCTATTGAGATGAAAGACTACAGGCTAATATCTTACTGCAATGTTTTGTATAAGATCATCTCCAAGATTATATCCTTCTTCAGTTCATTGCTCCAAACCAATCTGCTTTTGTCAAAGACAGACTCTTAATAGAGAACCTGCTTCTTGCTTCAGAATTAGTCAGGGTTTAGGTAGCAAGCGACGACTAAGACAGGGATGCTCCTTATCTCCTTATCTGTTTGTGATTTGCATGAACGTCCTCTCGAAGATGCTAGATAAAGCGGCCATAGAAAGGCGATTTGGTTTTCACCTACAGTGTAAAGATCTCACACTTACACATCTTTGCTTTGCCGACGATTTAATGGTCTTCTCTGACGGCAGCTCGACTTCAATGGTAGGAATCATTGCGGTATTTGATGAGTTTGCTAAAGTATCTGGCCTAAAAATCAGTGTTGAGAAGAGCACGGTATACCTGGCTGGAGTGACAGAAACTGTTCGCACTACAACTCTCGCGAATTTCCCTTTTGTGGCAGGATCTTTACCTGTTCGATACCTTGGTCTGCCATTGCTTACCAAGAAGATGAGCAAGACCGATTATACTCCCCGTATCGATAAGATTCGCCGGAGAATAAACTCTTGAACATCTCGTTTTCTATCTTTTGCTGGTCGCTTACAACTTCTGACTTCGGTTATAGCCAGTTTAACGAATTTCTGGATCTCAGCATTTTGGCTCCCAAGAGGCTGTATCGACGAGATTGAAAAGATTTGCTCGGCTTTTTTGTGGTCAGGTCCTGATCTTAACACAAAAAAGGCGAATATGGCTTGGAGTGATGTGTGCTTTCCGAAGAATGAGGGCAGATTGGGGCTGAAAAATCTAAGGGAAGCAAATGATGTTTGTGTTCTGAAGCTGTTCTGGCGCATACAAACAGCAAAATCATCTCTTCGGATCAGGTGGATTCACGCTCGGTTTATTCGAGGCGCATCAATCTGGAGCATTAAATAACCTACTAGCTCATCGCTGGGGTCCTGGATGTGGAAACATATTCTCCAAATACGAGATAGAGCGAAAGAGTTCATTAGAATGGAAGTTAAGGATGGGAAATCCACTTACTTCTGGTTTGATGTATGGACGAGGATGGGAAGTTTGATTGATCTCACAGGAGAACGTGGATACATAGATCTTGGTCTAAACTCCAAGACAACAGTCGCAAAAGTCATCAACTCAAACAGACAACGTAGGCAGCATCGATCTCCCTTTCTCAACCAAATTGAGGCTGAAATCGAGGACATGAGACGCAGATACCAACCTGGAGAAGAGGATGTTGTGCTTTGGTGACAAAAAACAGGAGATTACAGGCCTAAGTTTGAGACTCGATCTACATGGGAACAGATTCGGGAAACTAAGCCGCGAGTCACTTGGAGCAGATTCGTATGGTTCAGTCACAACACACCCAAATACGCCTTCCACACCTGGACTGCAGTACTTAATAGATTACCTACAGGAGACAGAATGTTAGCTTGGGGTAATCATATCTCTACATCATGTGTGTTTTGCCTCCATCCGCTGGAAACTCGAGATCACCTTTACTTTGGTTGCCCATACACCACTGAGGTATGGACGGAGCTAGCTGAAGGTGTTTTTGGACATGATTTTACTTGTGCTTGGGACGACATAGTCACCTCTGTTTTCAGACAAAGAACTCGCCTAAGGCAGTTCCTACTCAAATATCTTTTCCACATCACTCTCTATCACATATGGGGCGAGAGGAACAGGCGACGTCATGGCGAAAGCCATCTTTCCCAGCAAAAGATTATCCGGATAATCGACAAAGGCATGAAGAACCGTTTCAGCTCCATTCAAAGACTCGGAGACAGGAAATATGATGAAGGCTTTCAACTTTGGATAGCTTCAAGACAACAATAATATGTTTTGAATCTTTGAAACTTGTTTTCTAATTTGCTAGCATCTTTGATGTAAAAAAGTTTTTTTTGTTCGAATAAATTTAACATTCATTCAAAAAAAAACATATCACAAGTTATAGTATATAAATTGCACGTACCTACAACCAAGTACCTACGAACTACACAATTGACAACGGAAAAAAAAAAAAGATAATAGAAACAAGAAACAAGTTTGGCTTGATTCTGTCGTGTCCGTTCTTGAAACAAGTATGATCCTTTGATGTATCATAAGAGAGGTTGTATACATTGAGGACAAAAATTATATACATCTCAATTTTTTATTTTATTTACATTTCAAATTAAAAGTATAACATTTTATCTTACTGATTTTGCAGATTCAGTATGGATTATTCTACAAAAACGTTCATGCTCACTCTCTCGTGCATGGCACTTCTGTTCAACTACAACGTTAATAGTGGCTTTGTAGACGCATCAACAAAAATTGGCTTGAGCTACGGTCTCTTCGGACACAACCTCCCCCGCCTCCATCTTAAGTTATCAACCTCTACAAGTCCTAAAATTCGGATCTCCGACACAAACATGGACGTACTAATCTCCTTTCACGTACTAATCTCCTTTCACGGAAACCAGAATATTGGAGTCATTGTAGGCGTCAAGAACCAAGACTTGGCGCTTCTTGCGGTCAGTGCAGACGCTGTTAACACAAGGTTCGTGACCAACATTGAATTTTACTTAGCTGATGTCAACATCACCTTCATTACTGTCGGGAATGAAGTCATCCTGGGAGACTTCCT